GTTGAAAATAGGTGTATCGTAAAGTTGTATTCGGAAAGAATAAACCAGTTTTATTAAGTAAAGAATTTGTGTCGCTAAAGTTTCGTCGGAACGAAGTTACGGAAAGTTAATTAACAAACGGAGACGTAACAATATCATATGGGCAAAAGGTTTGGTGACGCAGAAAAATGATGTGGAAAACGGAGGTTCCAAAAATTATGCTACAGGATTTAGGGAAAGTGCTCTTTACAAATTATCATATCCTTACCCCTTCTAGGAATTGCGTGTGTATATATCCTTTACCATGCAATCATATTATTAAAGTATAAAAATAAACCAAATCTAACATTTTAGAATAAAAAATAACTAAAAGGAAAGAAATAAAATTTTTTTTGTCGAAAGTCTAGTATAACAGCTGAAATTTTGACCAATCATTTGCATGACGGTACATTTACAGCCAACTTATCTATTATTTATTTTTCCTTATTATAGCAAAAAAACAACTACACAATAATTAATTTATTCACTTCAAATGATAAACCACTTTCGATTTTTAAGTAGCCATCATATTTATGATAAATATTATGAACCTATATGCAATTTTGCACCGAATCAAATACGCATTGTACTGTAAGTTGTAACTTGTAAGATGGCGCGTTACCAGTTTTAAGAAGTAAAACAGCTGGTCTACTTTACAAGTTTTAAGTAAGTTTTACTAGATGCAATTGTATTAATAATACAGTAATAATAATAATAAAAGACAGAAATGTATCCTAATCTTATTACGATTAATTTAGGCTTATTTATCATATTATTATTAAGTTAAAACATAAATAGTATTGGTGAAGTAATAAACTATTGAAAAAAGTAAAAAGAGGTACTAACTAGGGGTAAATGCTCCTAAAAAATTAATTTGAGTTAAGAATAAGAATGAAATATGATGTAAAAAATGTCAGTGAAGCAAAGGGGTCTTGACATAATATTTCATCATCAGAATGAGCTACTAATTCTAATATAGTATGTGTCTTTGCTAAACCAAAAAAGTTGGCCTTACGAAAGAGTTTACAACTGTACATAATTAATAAACACTTTAAATCAGGGACCATTGTATCCTTTAGGAATGTTCTTGTACACTCTTCCTTGAGAAAAATAAAAATTTGAATCCACCCATTATTTTCAGGAAGTAATCAATTCACTTCATAAATTTGTTTTAAAGTGATGACCTCCATTATTACCAGTAGCAACTTATTCCATGAGTCATTTACCCTGTCATAAAAATAAAACCCTTAACTGGATCCTAGTCTATCTTTTTCCAAATGTTAAAGAACTTGTGTTATCTTACCTTCAGAATATAGATAGCATAAAGAAATTATTCTATTATCAGGCCATAATATTGTAAACTTCAATAAGATCAACTCTCTCTTCTTTTCTCAAGAGTAAATAAATTAACTTATCCCAGTAAAATAACTTTTTTTTCATCCCAGGAATCATCCTAGTAGCCTTCTACTAACTATTTTCCAGCAAGTTTGTATCATTTCTCAGATAACATAACATTAAAGGACAACAAGGGATATTATTGTCCATCTAGGCTGTCCTATCCACTAAATTAATAAATTAAAGTAAAAGAGAAAAAACCCTCAAACACAGCACTTATCATTGAAATATCAAATTTTTCCATAAATTAACTGCATTCACCACATCTGAAGGCAATTTGTTCCAAAGGTGTATCATCCTGTTATAAAAATAAAGCTATCTTAGCTGAAAATGATATAGGTTGACCTATCCACTAAATTAATCAATTAAAGTAAAAGAGAAAAATACCCTCAAAGCCAGCACTTATCATTAAAATATCAAATTTTCTCATAAATTAACTGCATTCACCACATCTGAAGACAATTTGTTCCAAAGGCCTATCATCCTGTTATAAAAATAAAACTATCTTAGCTGAAAATGACTTATTACCTACCAAAATTTACATTTGTGTCATCTAGTCATACTGTTCTCAACATTAAATATGAAACTTATCCAACAACAGAAATTATGTATTGAGCAACAATAACATTTTTTTTTGTAAGGAAAGTGATTATATTCCTGTGTAAAGTTAAAAATTAAATATTATTTAAATATAATAAAATTGGATTGCAACAAAATGGGTGGTCAAAAAGTTTAATTTATTAGAATGGTGGGGGGCATACCAAATCTAAAAAAGTGTACTGTAGCACAGTTTTATAGAATGTGGAAACATCTTTATTCAGTTTAATGTCCATTCCAATGATAGTTCCTGATGTGGAATTTCAAAACATAAGCACCTAATACACCTTGATGTATACAATTGATAAAGGAGAGGCATGCAACAAAAAAAATCAATCACTGAAAGATGTGGTGTGATATTGAAAAGTAAATGCGGTGATTACAAATTTCAAAAAAGCAAATTTTGAAGTGATGCGACAAGAATTATCTATTGTGAATTGGGCAGCTGAGTTATTTGGAAACATTGATTAGATGTGAAAAATTTTTAAAGATAGATTTTTAAATATTCAAACTTATTCCTTATAGAAAGAAAAGGGTAGCTGCAAGTAAAAAACCAGGTTGGCTCACACAGAGTTTGAGATAAAATTAAAGAAAAGCATCACAAATTTAAGAAATTTAACTTGACTGGTATGATTGGAGATTTAGAAGATCAAGAAAGTTGGTGAAACAGGAAATTAGGACATCAAATTGGAAGAATGAGAAAATGTTGGCTGAAAATGTAAAAATTAACAGTAAGGATTTCTTTAAATACATTTAGTATAAACAAAATTTTAGGATGAGGGTTGGACCCTTGAGGGATGATAAAGGAAAGCTAGTATCTGATGATTATGAGATGGCTGGGTTACTAAATTTTGCTTTTTCTTTGGTTTTTACTAATGAAGATATAAGCAATATTCCACATCTTGAATAGTTAATAAATGGAAACAAGATCAAATAAAGTGAGTGCATTAATTCTGAGCTAGTTAAGAAAAAATTGGGAAGTTTAAAAAATGATAAGGTTCTTGGGCCAGATAATATTTCCCCAATGGTTTTGAAGGAGGTTAAATATTAGATATGTGAGCCACTTACTACTGTTTTTTGTTAGTCCTTGAATAGTGGGCAGGCACCAGAGGATTGGATGTTAGCTAATGTAACTTCTCTTTTCAAGGGAGTTGATAAAAATTGTCCCAGTAATTATAGACCCATTAGTCTTACATCAGTTGTGGGAAAAGGTTTGTAAGGTCTGTTAAAAGATGCTTTACAAAGTCATTTAACAAAGTTTAGAATTTTATTGGATAGTCAACATGGTTTCATTAAAAGAAAATCTTGCCTTACAAATCTTTTAACATTCTTTGAAAAGGTCACTGCTGTTATGTTTCTGGTCATTTGTTAAATATTCTGTAGAAATTCTTTCCGAGCAAACTTCAGTGATACAAGTCCTTTCTTAAATAAAACTAGTTTATTCTTTCTCAATACAACTTTGCAATACACTTAATTTCCACAGTCACTTTAACTTAGGCACACGCTATAATTCACAAAGATTGATTCACGCACTTTACTTACTACCGCGCTTGACTCAATTGTCCGTCTGTATCTTCAATCTCTCTGTCTGCTATCCCCGTTCCGATTGATTGTCGGGCTTATATATTAGAATACTGCACATCTAGCAAACACTCGAACATTCACAAACCTTCGAGAATATCATGACGTGTTACTAGCGTCACGTGACTTCTGCTGTCGTAACACTGCCCCTTCCTTAGTATTGTTCGTCCTGACCAGTAGCCACTTACATTAAACCAATAGATAATTAACAATAACTTAATTAAATGTACATAATTTACAAACATTAAATTAAAATGCAACAAAGTCTCTTAATTTTACAGGACGTATCTTCTTCCTTACTGGCCTCCGTCTCGTTGGCTTCTGCTTCACGTGGGGTTCATCTGCTCTATCAGGAAATGTCCTGTTATCGGTAACAGTCACATCAGTGGCCTTATGTATTAGAATACCGCATATCTAGCAAACACTCGAGCTTTCACAAACCTTCGAGAATATCATGATGTGTTACTAGCATCACGTGACTTCTGCTGTCGTAACACTGCTTATGTAGATGAGGGTAAGAGTGAAGATTTGTAGTATGTGGATTTTCAGAAAGCATTTGACAAGGTGCCACATAAAAGGCTTGTAAAAAAAATAGCACTATAGGTGTGGGGGATAAGTTAGCAAATTGGATAGAAGAAAGGGTTGTTACAAATGGAGTTCAGTCAAACTGGATTAATGTCACAAGTGGGGAATCTCAGGGCTCAGTCTTAGGACCTTTGCTGTTTTGAATTTACATCAGTGACATAT